GTTATATCGTTTACATCCACTTGTTTGAGGTTGTTTTAAAATATCAAAATTGATGTCTCCCATAAGAATGATTGGTTTGTTAAATCCCTCAAGAAATGTTAACATAGTTTCATAATAATTGAGAATATCACATTTGGAGCTTGGAGGTCGATACCATGTAACAAATATGAAAGGTTTATCTTTTTTCAAATCAATCAGTAATGATAAAGCTTCTAAATGTAGGGTGGAATCAAATGTCAATTGATGAAAATTCAAACTATTATGCACATATATAGCTACTCCTCCACCTTTTCTATTGCGGTCATTTCGAACTAAACTAGAGTTGTCCATGTTTTTAATAGCCTGCAAGGCTGACATGGAATCTGATAATATTACAACAGAAACTGGGAGATAGTCCTCTATCCATTGTAATGCTAGGATGATTGCTGTCAGTTCAGCAGTCATAATATTTACTGGGGTTATTCTATAACCTTAACTTATCTTAAATTTTGGAATATAAAAGGCTGAACCTGTTAGACCATCATCAAGTTCGGATCCATCTCTATATATTTTCAAGTGTTTGTTCCATTTTTATTGAAATATCTTCCAATGCACAGTTTAACTGCTGTATTGGAAGCAATTCTTTCTCTTTCACTTGATCATGTATACAGAATGAGACGTTTGGTTTAAAAAAATGCCAAGGAGGAGTGCGAGGAATACAATCTGCCTGTTTTTCTAGGTTTGGTGTTTCTAAAGTTCAGGCTCTATTAATGAGAGGACCCTCATTCTCTTTCCATTTATTAAATTCGTATTGCCAACAATTGTGTAGTATATACTTTGTTGGATGATTATCCTTTCTTGATTGTAAATAAAATGTATTTTGTCAACAAAGACCTGTCTACGAAACTCTGAGGGGGGCCGCCCGCACTCGACCTGAAGCGCTGCTAGTGATGTCATGGGTAATCCTAAGAGCTTGGTATTGGATAGAATCTTTTTTTTTTCAAAAGAGTATTTGATGCTGACCCATATGCTTCGCATCCATAATCTATAATAGGCCTGATAAGGCCTTTATATACCATTTGCAATACTCGGGAGTTGCATCCCCATTGCGTACCCGATATATAGCGTAATAAATTCAGACGTTTTTTGCATTTTTCAACAATAAAATCAACATGAGTAGCCCAGGTTAATCTGTGGTCAAACCAGATTCCTAGGAATTTGTGTGAATTATGATGAGGAATAATGCAATCATTAATCTTTAGCTTGACTTCTTTTAATACCCGTCTACCAAATAGGACTGTTTTTTACTTTAAAGATGAGACATAAACACCCCATCTTTTACACCAGTTTTCTATCTCTTTCAAAACCGTTTGAACTTTATTTATTGCAAATTTGAAGTTTCGGCTAGAGAATCATATACAAATATCATCTGCATATATAGAAACGTTGGTTATTTTGTTTTAAAAAATCAAGATCATTCAGCATAATTGTAAATAGCAGTGGGCTGATTACACTTCCCTGTGGGGTTCCTTGTAGTAATACCTTACTGTTTGACAGTGTACCGTCTACTCTAACTTGAGCCGTCCTCCGGCTAAAAAATGCTTCTACCTATTTCAAAATGTTTCCTCTCAAACCTGCTTCGTACATTTTATATATAATTCCTTTTCTCCATAGTACATCGTAGGCTTTCTCTAAGTCTAGGAAGACTACGATTGTGTACTCTTTATTCAATAAGGCCTTATGAATATCGGTCTCTAATCTAATGATTTGGTCCATTGTGCTGCTCTCTTTTCGAAAACCCGATTGTAACGGGGTAATAATATCGTATTGTTCAGTAAACCATGTCAAACGGTTTTTGACCTTCCTCTCCATAAGCTTACAGAGTACTGGGGATAGTGAGATAGGTCTGTATGATGAAGAGTTTGATGGATCTCTTCCAGCTTTAAAAACTGGAATTAGAATGGAGTGCAATCCTCCTTTTTTCAGTGGAAGATGACGGGATTGTAGTACTCATTATCGCCTTTTTTATTCTAATATTCGTTTGGCTAGACTAAAATAAATCCTTCAAATAACTTCACATTACTGAAAGTTACACATTTGATGATGAAAACATAAGCAACAAAAATCTCTATAGGAAATAGAATACAGCATTCATTTATCAATCGACATCTAACGAGCTTGAAGAAAATATGCATGGTTAAAATTCATCCCAAAGTGAAAAAAAATCATTACCGTGCATGCAAGTATAGACGTTTGATATATGAATTATATTCCACATAGTAAGAATCTTGCTCTACGATTGGTCAAAAGCAAATCTACCGAGTACAACGCACTTTCACTGAAGATAGTAGTACTATCTATACAGTGTAACGAACTTTTCTTCTCCCATCAATGATGGGCGAACTATGTTTCATCACGTGATTTACTTTTGACCAATCGTAGAGCAAGATTCTTACTATGTGGAATATAATTCATATATAAATTCCAATGGTTCAGATTATTTACAATTCCTTTCAAATCCATGTGATAAATCTTTTCTCTTTATGCCTACAAACTGTTTTGAAATCTTGAATATTATCAATTCATTGAAAATAAGTTATTCGTGTAGTCATGATGAGATGAGTACGCACTTTTTAAAACAAATAGCAGGAAGTATTGTAACGCCTCTAGTACACATTTGTTATTTATCACTTACAACAGGAGTCTTTCCGGACTCACTGAAAATAGCAAAAGTAATTCCAATATACAAAAAAGACGACTCTTCTCTAGTTTCAAATTACCGACCTTTTTCTATTTCCAAAGTCTTAGAAAGACTGACTTATAATAGACTGTATGATTTTCTAACAAAAATGAACTATTGTATGAAAATCAATATGGTTTTAGAAAATTTCATTCAACGGAGTTAGCATTGTTACAATTATTTGATAGGGTGTCAAATGCCTTAGCTGATCATAAGCATGTTATTGGAGTATTCATGGATCTGAGCAAGGCATTTGACACTCTTGACCATACATATTTATACGTAAATTGGAATACTATGGATTGAGGGGTGTTGCTAAAGAATGGTTTAAAAATTATTTAACAAATAGAAAACAATATGTATGTTTCGAAAAAAATATCGCTAGTGATATTCGTTTGTCTAGCAATGTAGTCAATAAGGAATCTAAAAGTTCACGACGTTTCGTGCGCTATCTGCAACACTTCGTCAGGTGATACAAACTACTGTGAATAGTACTTTACAACCTCTTCCATAATCTCTTCATTTTTGCTAACGATTCGACTATCATTTCCACGTTTTAATTGTGAAATTTCCTTTTTCTTTGCATTACTCTTTTCTAAACCCAAAAAATACTTCGTACTTTTCTCTACTTCTTCCATCCACCTAATACGAGCTCTGATTCTAGCTCCTCTAGATTCATGTCTATAAATCTTCTCTAACCTCGCCTTTGTGTCGGTGTACTCTTTTTCTATTTATTTATCAGGTACACTGACATCAATTTGTTTTTCAAGTTCACACAATTTCTTGTCTAATGAAAATTTATCATTTTTCCTATCGAGTGCTTTTGTTCTACAGAATTGTTGTGAAAATTCACGAATTCTAATCTTGAACATTTCCCACCTTTTTTGTGAGGAAGGGTATTCATCTTCACAAAAGGAATAGATAATTTCGGAAACTTTCATTTTGTAATTTACATCATCTACATCATCTACAAGGCAAACTGAAAAATTCCATTTAAGAAATCAAAAAACCGCATTGGCTCTCGAATCCATAAGACACGCCGGCCCAGACATCTGGAACTCTCTGCCCATTGTAATAAGAAACCTTAGGACATTGTATTCATTTAAGAAGGCAGTTAAAACTATGTTATTGTCTAAGTATTGATCCTGTCGTGTGTAATTGTACTATATTCATGTTCGTGTGTACATTGACCGTATATTCAACAATGATGTGTTATCGTCCATGACCTAGCATCGTTTAGCCATTCATGAATGAACCTGCATTCAATCAGCAGATGTACGAGATTTATTGTATTATTACCAACGCTCCTTCTCTCCCCTTTCCTTTTCTTCTCTACAAGTCAGTCTTTTCTATTTGTATTTGTTATTGTTGTTGTATCTAAGTTGAGGGCTGCGGGCACGTCAAGCTATTTTGCTTATTTCTGTAGCCCTCCTGCATCTAATGTATGTTAATTATGCATTCAATATATTTGTTTAAATTCGTTTATTATCTGTATAAAATTATATACACTTAAAATATTGTATCATACCATATTATGTTCATGAAAATGTATGATGAAGAAAGAAAAGAGATGCAGAAACCAATAAATCAAATCAAATCAAAAGTTGGGTTTGGTTATGTTGGTGGGAACGGACAAAATAAAGAAATAATTTAACCAAGGTTTCAGAAAAATCGGAAAAGAAGAAAAACGTTAAGGAATGTTAAACGTCGATAATGCTAATGATGTGAGAAAACTTGTATTGGCAATGCGGTCATGATGTCTTATGACATACAGGGGTAATCCGCTAATTGTTATGTATCCAAAATACCGCTAACACCTTCTCTTGAGTCTTTTGATAGAAAAAACTATTTTTAGAGGGAGGGCAATACATAATCTGCTGTATCATTAAAATGGAAAACAGAGAGGTATTTTTAATATTTTGAAAAGAGAAATCGCATATAGTTCATCCGGAACGGCATCGAATATGACTTTAATGTCAATTGAAGATTCTCTATATCATTTATAATCTCGGCATCAAAAAGTTCAAAGACTTTATATTCTTTGTCACATTTTCAAAACTACACGTTTGTATATTTCTTCATACTTAAATCCGATGAAAAGCCTTTAAGTTGCATTACTGTATATTTGTTTACTATTTACCAAGCATGATATGAACATTAAAAGTACTACATTAAAAAAATAATAAATCAGGTTATCTATTAAAAAATAATTTCTTACATTAGCTTTGGTTTTAATTCAAATAATATGTAGTGAGCTTTTATGCATCGCTGTTTCATGTAGACTCGTCAAGTTACCTCTGAGTCAGTAGATGAGCTATCTGTGGATGTTATGGATGTGACCAGTCTGTGGAACGGTGGACTTCATACATCATGTCCCCGAGTGAAAACTCTCAAGCTGGAATGGTCGAAAAAGGAGAATGTCTCACCAGATACCATCACAATGGCCTGCTCTCCATTCCATTATCTAACTCACCTTCACATCAAGGGATTCCTGCTATCGTCTACTACACTGAATGATCCAGTGTCATTCTGCAAGGCGGTGATAACATCATGTCCCCTACTCACCAAGCTGTCCATTACCAGCATTGACCTGTACACCAAGAAAGCAGCTGAGATCATCAAACGCATGAAGACTCATCCACACCTGACAAACATAGAGTAAGTAGCGGAAAGCAGTTAAAATTCCGTAATGTGAAACATTTGATATAATTGTCTTATTGGAAAATATGCATTTAAATACTTAATTCAAAGGGTTTTTTCTCTTATAATAATGTATTTTTAGATAGTGAGCACAATGACAACATTTTCAGAGACAACATTAAAGGGAACCAAAACCTTCATACTAAGTTACCTTTTATTGTAAAGTTTAAAAGATTTGAATGGAATCAGTGAAAAATTAAACTTAATCAGGCAAGGAATAAGGAAGTTACAGCTTTTTGAAATAACTTGTCACCGGAGGGCGATATTTAAGTTGATGACATCATTTATGGACAACTCTCCATGCCCTCTGACCATGGAATTTCACAATTCTGTCATTTTCTTCGTATTCATTCATGTTCAGGATCCGACTTCATAAACTGAGAAGTAGAATATCATTTTGCATAAAAGTAACTTAGTATGACTGTTTTGGTGCCCTTTAAAGAAATGAAAATAAATATTTTCATCTCAATATCGTTGTAAATAACCAATGTGTATAAATCCAGTGTTTAATGTAATGTGTTCAAAGTCAATGAAAAAGATGAACAGGCTTTTGAGTCAATATTAGGATTAATGTTTGCAAAATGTGCAGTAAAGCTTTTATTTATTTATACCGTGACCAATGTCATTTGGTTAAGATAAATTTAAATTCGAAACTTAATTTTTGGTTATTCATCATGATTTTCATAGACTTGCTGTATCCTACATATACAGTTATGATACTATGATTTGCAGTCATGCAATATAAATGCAGAGCAAAATTATGCAAGGTCCGATGTGCATTACATTTTCATCTATTCTCACATCATAGAGCATACATCTCTGATGGCTTTTTAAGAGAGTATCGTACGTCAGGTTAATAGTCCAGAAGATCATGAATTGTGCCCCCGAAATGTACTGTTATATTACTATAGGTTGGAGAGGTGTTGTACCGACACGGATCTGGATCCACTGATTTCTGAGGTAAACAGTGAAGGCAAGCTGACTGTCACCGTGAAGCATGGTGGGGTAAGATATAACAATAGATTACATGCCTATCATTCGATTCTTCTCCATCTTTCTGTCATTCCATCGATTCAAAGTAGGCTATTTTTATTATCCATTTTAATCTCCGCCCTGTCGGTACCCAGTAATAAACAATACACATGATTTATGCAGTATTTAATGTGTTTATTCTGGCCTGATTATGATGATCACGTCTAGCAAAAGATTTGTTCTTGATCTGTGTAATGATATCCTGAAACTGAAATATAAAAAACATAGAGAAAAAGACTTTTTACAACTATATGAACATTTTCAGTGAACAAATACTTTCCCTTCATGTACATGATGTATATAAAGGCAAAAACACTCATTGTACTTCGCCCTCTTTTTTAAAAGCGATATGACGTTCATAATATATGAAAGAACGAAATATTTCCCTTATCTAATCTTTAGCTCTACTTATACCCCCTTCACATACACGGATTTTCCTTACGAGTCCTTACGGATCGCCAACTCGTAGTCAATCGCAAGCATCCGTAAATAACTCGCTGGTATCCGTAAATAGCTCGTCACAACTCGCAACAACTCGCAGACACTCGTAAGTATCCGTGAAAGGAGAGGCAATTTTTTTGACATGTCAAAAATCTTCTTACGATTGTCCACGGATTTATTTGTCCGTAAATAACTCGTAAATAGGTCGTAACAATCCGTAAGTATCGTAAACCGCTCGCATCGACACGTTACCATCCATAAACTGCTCGCAAGAATCCGTAAATGACTCGTAATGATTTCTTCAACGATCTGTTTCGGTTGGTTTACGATTTGTTTACGGATTATTTACGGATTACTTACGGATTATTTACGGATTATTACGAGTGCTTACGTGTTGTTTACGATTTCATTTAGGTCCTGTTACAATGGCTTTACGGATTGTTACGAGTTATTGCGAGCACTTTACGTGTAGTTACGAGTAATTTACAAATAGATACGTATACTTTAAGTATTCTTACGTATCGTTTACGTTTTGGGGGAAAGGTATAAAAGCTGCAAATTTGAACTCTTCATTTTCAGTTGTTATTTTTTGGTTACAAATCGTAAGGACTCGTAAATACTCGTAACTAACTCTTAACTATTCGTAACAACACGTTAACAGGTCGTTACTAACACGTAAGTTGCTCGTAGTTATCCGTGACAACTCGTAACAAATCGTGGAATTCTGCCGTAAGTATATCGTAATAACTCGTAATAATCCGTAACAAACCGCAAATAGCTCGTAGTAACTCGTAACAACTCTTAAATCGGTCGTTAAAGTGGCCAAATCGTAAGGATCCGTGAAAGATCCGTGAATTTGTGCGATCCGTAAGGACTCGTAAGAAAAATCCGTGTATGTGAAGGGGGTATTAAGGAATGTGTCAATTGATCATGTAGCATGCATCTCAGCAAAATAAACTCGACTTAGAACCGTGGCGAAAAGTAGAAAGACATGCTTCTTACAATAAAGCAATATCCATGAGTTTGAATATACAGGTGTATATTGGAAAGAAATTCTTACAAATCACACTACTTTTTTCAGAACATTTTTAAAGGTAAAGACCAGTTATGGTCATGCGATTGCATTGTGAAAGAAACGTTGTGGAATCGATCAGAAAAGATTGGTCATCTAGTATCTAGCATCTGCAAGGTTCTGGAATCATCAAACTAATAAGAAATTTGGCCCATCCTTCGTAAAGTTACAAGCACTATACACAGAAAGATGTATATGGGACTACCCTATATCTCTCACAGTCCATGAGAGAAACAAATTTACCAAATATATGAATTAGTAGGCGGTTTCCCGGCAATTTTTTTATCATCGTGTATTAGTCAAAACATATTCTTTCACATGATTGGTAATGAGAGCTTCCATTTCATTTTTTGAAATTGGGGCGTTTCCAATACTGGTCTTTACCTTTAAGATGTATATGTTATTTGTGGCCTGCATTTTGTTAAAACAAACTGCCTGTTTATTCTTAATTCTGTAATAAAAACAACAACAAATACAACTTCATGAATAAATGATGTCATTAAGATGGGTGGTAGGTACAGAGTATAGGCCTATATATGTCTCCTCTTCCTATGCCTGTTACCGTGGTCATGATAGTGACATCATATATATATTTCAAATCTTCCCTGCCTAAAATGTAATGCTTGTAGTACCTCTTTGAACAAACTTGTTTATCAATATCAAATTGCTTGCAAATAGTGGTAAAATTCAAATCTAATTTTATTTTTACTAAACGATATCCTAGCATTTTACATCAATTTATCTCTTCTTCGGATGCAGACACGTAAATGAATTCATCGCCTTTCTGATTGGAATTTAAATGTTATAACAAGCGGTTCTATATAAACGATTGGGAACTTTTTACTCTTTAGATATCTGACCTACATGAACTTTAATCTCTGGAAGCTCATTTTCAACTTATAATTTATTTTAAGAATGTCCCTATAATTGTCATTAATAATAGCTGTTAAAAGGTGATTATTTATATATGCACAACTTGACTTGATATATATATATACTCCTCCTAATACTACCATGAATGTAACCCTCTCCCTCTCCCATCCTCTATGTCCCTTCTCTTTCTGTGTTATTTAACAAGAAATCTTACTTCCTTCCTGACCAAATTTGGCATGCATCGCTTCATATTGTATGTTTGTTTTTGTTTTCATTTCGAGAGGACGTCACTTCAAGCTTATGCTTATATTGAAGACGACCCCCGTTTTTAAATATTTTTATTTTATTTGTATGTTTTATTAAATCAAAACTAATATCAAAATATTAACAGGTAGACGACCCCTTTTCTTTATATGCCCTGTCATCATCATACATCTAAATTCATAAGATAATATATGTAAATACGTTGATGTATATGGAATGAATAAACATCACATGAAATTAAAGGAAAACCATCATTATATACAATTTATTTCTAGTGTTCTTATTTTTCAATAGTTTTTGAGGTCGTGAAGATAACGCTTAAGTACTACGTGGTTTGACCGTCAAGCAACAACGTATCAACGTCAGAAGATGACCCTCATCAGAACACGTGATGACAGCAGACTAATGCAGACTTCAAAATTAAACTTGTCGAGTGTGGCGGTAACCAGACTACACGAATATCTAATAATACTAATCGAAGTATATCTAAAGTTCAATTGCATGAAATATAGTATCATAAACATATTACTGAATATATCCTGTCTCGATATTTTTTATTGATATCTTTTTAATTTGTTGACGCATATGAAGAAGGTCGATTTATTTTCGGGGCGAGTTTTTAATTCTCTACAGCCTCTTCAAAAGTACGTTGACCTTGACAAAGCATTTGTGTTTTTTGTTTAATACTGCAAGCACATCATATTATATCCTAATAAAGAGAGAAAGAGATTGGATTAGAGTTGACGTAATTTGAATCAATCATTATTTATGTCTATATCTTGAACTACATGCGATGTAAAGACAATACTTCATTACAGTGTTGTTTATGGTTGTTAGCCTAAGAGTCTGTCGCGCTTCATGAAGAAGTTTGATGAAAACACAATGTTGTAAATTATGATTATATTGTGCAGAGTATGGGTATGGCTAAAATGTGACAAGATCCATTTGAACCATAGACCATATGAACCATACATGTCGTGCTATTGTTGATATTATCACCCTTAAGTTTCTTGTCATTTACATTCAACTAATCATGCATGATTCTAACTTTGATATAATCTAGTCTAGTTCGCGACATGCATGCAACAGTTATTGATGTAGTAAAAAAGAGGAATTAGTCATCTTGATCTCGCTGTAATAATCTTTTATCTAATCGTGATCAGATCGTATATATCTATATATACAATCTAGTTTATTTGTGACATTTATGTTACACAGTCGTCCATGCAATATGAGAGAAAGTGATTCTTATCTACAATGACAATTTCTTTCGAGTGATATATTTCAAACGTCCGATGCTCCTGTACAGTGTTTTTACCATTGTACATCTTATCAACTTATACTCTATTATAAATTCTTTCAATTTATGTCTCTTTTATAATGTTCACTTTCATTAATAATAGGCCTGTGTTGTAATGATTTTTTTCAGTTGGTGCGTAATACACCTGAATAAGAGACATTGAAGTGAAGTCTTACAATGTGCGTTACGTAGTGAGAGGTGTACTCTCTTTGTTCGAGCTGTATTGAAAATATCGCTCTTCTTACATGCTCTTTGATTGCCTTGAGAAATTCTGAAATCATCTGAAAGCCAGTGAATTTCTCTTTGATGTGTATAAGAAATGTATTAATGTTTTAATGCTACGTTTATCTACCTTGTTTCTTATTTTGCCTTTTAAAGATGTCTCCTCTCTCTCTCTCTCTCTCTTTCTCTCTGTTTCTCTTTCCCTCTCCGTGTCTCTCTTTCTCTCTCCTCCCCCCCCCCCTCTCTCTCTCTCTTCTATCCACTTCTCTCTCCCCTCTTTTCTCTCTTTTCTCTCTCTCTCCTCTCTCCTCTCTCTCTCTCTTTTCCTCTCCCGACCCCTCTCTCTTTCTATACCTCACTCTCTCCCTGTCTCTCTTCTCCCTCTTTCTACCTTCCTCTCTCTTCCTCACTTCCTCTCTCTTCCTTGTCTCTCCCTCACTTCCCCTCCGTATCTCCCCTCCCTTCTCTTTCCCTCTACCCTCTCTCTTTTTCTTTCTACCCTCCCCTTTCTTGTCCCTTTCTTTCTCTCTCACCACTTCTTCTTCTCTCTCTCTCTTTCTCTTTAATAGTCATTCCTCTTCTTTTCAATTTCCTCGTCATATCTCGCCTTGGTCTAGCTACATCTAGCCAGCCGTTGTATATTGTATTGTAACCATATTTTCATTTGTGTGACACAATACGTTCTTCTTAAGTGTATATTTTTTGGTCCAATTGTGTTTACACTATTCAATTTCATTGTAAATCAACCATTATGAGTTCCTGAACTTTACGTGTTGATGTTTTTAAACCGAATAAATAAATAAATAAATAAAATATATTTACCATGTTCATGGATTTGCAGGACTGCTGCAACGTGTTACTGATATTTCGAAATGTAATAATAATAATAATAATAGCTCGTTCTTATATAGCGCTTTTCAGGACCGGAGGCCCTCTCAAAGCGCTTAACAGATAAGTGTATGTATTGAATATGTGAACATTTATATATATATGTTTGTATATATATAATATATATACATGTATAATGTTCTTAGAAAGGGAATCACTTTGCATTCATTCATTTACGTCTTCCTACTCACGTTTTTTATATTTAAATTTATTTTGCTAATATACCTGATAGTGTACATAATTGCATGTTAATAAAGTGGAAACAAAGAATACGTATGACTACAGCTTAAACAGTAGGACTTGCAGAATATGGAATTTGTTGTAAGAATAACAAATGTTTTCTACTATCTCATCAGTAATTGTAGAAACTACAATTTCGTGTATTTATCTAAGCAATGAGACTGTCATTTGCTTTTAATGATTGTTTTATCATGTGATAAGCCACTTATTTGGTTATGTCGTAGACTTATAATAGATCCGTGGCTATATGGATTTTATATGTTCCTTGAAGTTGTGATGTTTTGTTTATAAAGGTAACAAATTTTGGTGTTAAAATCATTTGGTACAAATCTTTATGTGTGTACAGCCAGCTGTTCTAAGATATTATCGATCCCTTCGACTTTTACCATTACTGACTATGTATACTTATGTATGTTTATTTTAAGTGTGTACATAATTATAAATATACGCAGTTTCAGAGAATTACAAACAGATAATTCGACTTTGTACATATGTATACAAGAGAAAGTTCGATCTATAACTGATTGAACTAATGGGATTTAAAACTTTCTTGTTGTTGAGAGATGGTAGAAGGGGAACTATCACAAGAAATTGAATGACATAATTATAAAAGCAATTTACATTTTGAATTATCGCCTCATAGCTTTATTTACGTAAATTTGAATGAGTCGGATAAGAGGTGGGCAACATGAAGAAAGACAGAGGGTAAAGTGCTTTTCATACAAAACAAGAAATGATTAGATTGGAGAGTGTATGACAGAGAGGAAAGGCGTGGTGTAACTTGTAAGTAGACGCTGAAAGATGGAGACAGACCAAGAGATAGAGAGAGGGGGAAGAGAGAGACAGAGAGAAGAGAGGGGAGGATAAAGGGAGAGAAAGAGAGACATAGAGAGACAGAGAGAGAGAGAGAGGGAATATTTAAGAATGAAATACAAACACGCATTCAAAAGGAGACAAAATTGTCCTCACACATAAGTATACGCAAAACAGTATACAATGATCACTCCACATTTCACAGACCAACCACTCAGAAATGCATGATACAAATTAAAACGCTACACCGTTATAAACATCGATATAAACCTGTCAATTATAAACATGAGTCCTAAAGAAGATAAGGTATAGATAGAAAGCTTGACAAATACAGGGAGACACAAATCAAAAGCTATATTCGATCGCGTCATAATTAATTACCTGTATATGCCTTCCAAATATGAACAAATCCGGATTTCGTGACGAAAGATGGCGCTAGAGTACTCTTCTGTCTACAAATTCATTCACATAAAAGCAACTTGTAAATACTATATGAACACAGTGATACTTTTTGATACTCTTATTTTTTTTTTAAAAAGAGAAAGAAAGAAATTAATATTTAAAAAAAAGGCGTTGGTGATAATAGTCAGGTCTTGACTGATTGCCATTACAACAAAAAACAACAACAACTATATGAACACAGTGAAAAACAGTATAGTCAGGCCGAAATAATTTGTTCAGATTGGACAGCCATATTACCTCAACAACAACAACAACAACACTACTCGACGCAACCGTTACGCACTTGTAAAGCGTGGATCAAATCATGGTAAAGGTGGGGGAGGGGCACCACTCGGATGAAATTAACACTGAGGACAATTAGTTAAGGGGGAGGGTGTTGGAGGGTGTTGGAGGATGTAGCATCGTCTTCTGTTCTATTCCACTTCTCGCCCTCCCCTTTCTCTCCTATTTTCCATCCTGTTTGTCATTTAAAAAGGTGGTTGGTTGGGGGGTCAGTGCTTCGTGGCCAATGCATTTACTTGTTTGACGGGTAAATAGCGTCCGTTGCGATACCACACATATTGTTGTGATTCCTGGCAATGTTGATATAGCCATTCTCTCCCCATTCTTCTCCTGGGAACAATGAAGAGATTGGTGAAATACGATTATACTGTATCACTATAATTGGCCTTTTAATTGAGAATACATGAGAAGACTGATTTCATGCAAGGAACATGTGATTGAAATCAAACACAGTAACACAAATAACAACATACGAATTCTCTGAATACCCAAACAATATTACTATATCACCTAAGCGTAGGGGTACAATCTTGGGATGGGTAGTTGTCAAAAGGACTGATTGGGGTGTAATGGTCCAAGAGGGTAATTGCCTTATGGGGTAATTATAGTCCAGGTGTTATATTTTGGGGTCAGACGTCCTGATACGGTAACCGTGCATCTCAGTTCAAAGCTGTACATTTGCAAGTAATGAGTGGATTCTCTGGAGCCCACCGCACACTTTAAGATCTTCCTGCGATCCGAATTTCGAAGTAATAATAATAATAATAATAGCTAGTTCTTATATAGCGCTTTTCAGGACCGAAGGCAGTTACATTCGATTTGTAAACCTGAACAAACATAATCTTCCTGATTTAGGTTCAAAATAATGATTAGAATACTAACAACCGGAATTTCAATGAAATTTCAGCTTTTTGGTCAGACTAAAAGTCAACTCATAAACAATCGCACTACATTTCTAATGTCACTGCAAATTTGAGCCGATTACACACGAAGCGCCATTTTGGACTGCGTTAATATTTGCGCTAGTCAACAAGGTGAAACGTGTATCATCTATTAAAAACTTGGTTAGAAAGTTTGAGGTTTTTTTTAAAACTCGTTTTGTAAGATATTACCCTCGCGTGGCGCATTAAGAGCTACAAAAATCACTGACGCATTCCTACGTCAGGCAAAAATAACGCCTCGTGTGCAAAGTACAGTCAAGAAAGCTCACCCCATGTGTTCCTGCATATCCAGTACTCGGTCCCCACCGAAGAAACACCGTAGCCTACCAACAACAGGGAATGATCCAATTGCGTCGACGAGCAGTTGGGATCACTGTACACGCCGCTGATGTATAATTGGAAAGACGGCTGGCTTGCGTCTATGGCTACCACGACGGGTGTGAAGTAGACTGCTTCAGCGAGTGCAGATTCGTTACCTTGAGTTACGGACTTACCAACGTTACACTGAAGAAAATGGGTGAGAAAATATTATGGAAAAATTTAGAGAGAGAGAGAGTGAGAGAGACAAATATCAAAAAAAAAAGAATGAGAATATTTCATTTTTTTTTAAATACACCCGTTATATTGTGTAAACCAAAACACCAAAGCGGATGAAATCAGTTTTGAAGTCTCAAGAAGTTACTGTCTATCGTGTACATGATCACCTACATCCACCCACCAAACAGTAAAGGAAGGTGAAACAGAGACACAGACCAAAAAACAGAGAGAGAGGGAGAGAAAAGAAAGAGAGTGAGAGAGACAAATATCAACAAAAAAAAGAATGAGAATATTTCATTTTTTTTTAAATACACCCGTTATATTGTGTAAACCAAAACACCAAAGCGGATGAAATCAGTTTTGAAGTCTCAAGAAGTTACTGTCTATCGTGTACATGATCACCTACATCCACCCACCAAACAGTAAAGGAAGGTGAAACAGAGACACAGACCAAAAAACAGAGAGAGAGGGAGAGAAAAGAAAGAGATCCAGCTAGTGGGCTAAAAGAATATGAGCAAAAATATTACACGAACGACCCCCCCCCCCCCCCCGACCTTCATAGGCATTTTTGTACCCGAGTTTTAAGGCTATTGCAGAATATGATGGATGCTTACAAGTCGATGCATCGCTAGACCTTTAACGATGGGAGAGAGATGGGGTTGGTGTGGGACCAAATTCACCGAAAAGTTAGCCGGACCCCCCCCCCCCCGGCCTCCCCCTACCACCTGCCAACATTTGCAAAAATTGACAAAACTACCTACCGATGCGACGGCCTTACACGATGCGTTATTGCAGAAGTTCGGAGCAGAGCCAGAATGATAGGAACCGTACTGACAGAGCCCGTCGTGATCATGCACGCAGTCGAAAACATGAGGGTCTTCGATGGGATCAGGAAGACAACAGTCGACCACTTCGTCGACGGAAAGTGCGTACAGGTAAGTCTGGTCGTAGATGGACGAGTAGCTAGCTACGGCATCTGAATGGGATATCAATATAGTGGTGTGATGGTTACATGCTGTTATCCCAAATGTTGATAACAATGAAGGCTCGTTACTCTTAGTAAGGTTCAGAATTCCGAAGGGTCGAATGTCCAAAAATGAAATAGGGTTCGTAATTCCGAAATTCTGAAAGTGACACTGATAACATAGAACTCATCTTCAATGTCCTGACGAAAGATTGCGTCAACAACTGATCAAGTCTGACATGGTGACATTGTACAGACATGATTGCAAATAAGCAATGCGAATTCAATTGACTTTATAGACTTCTTAAGCTTAAATCACACCGAAACCAGACCCAACACGGAGCACCCCAGATTAACATGAAACACCCCGAAGCAAGAGACATCTTGATCCGGGTAATCCTGGGTGAAATTGAGTGGAATAACCCTGACCAACACGGTGCCAATACGGATCCCCGGACAATCCCGGATCAGCTATGGACTGTCCCGGGACCCAACACGGACCGCCCCCTGTTCAATCCCTGTTCTCAACTACGCACCGTGTTAGGTCCGCGTTCACCCGTGGTCATCCATACTTGGTCCGGCATGAACTGTGTATGGTCCGGGGTGTTCCGGGGAGTCCAACAACATGCCAGATCGCCCAGGATCGCCCGGGATCAACACGATGCTACTACGGACCTCCCGGAGCCGTCACGGTCGCTACACGGAATGTCCCGGACGCGAATTCTTTTTCCTACGAACTTTGAGTTCGCGAGGGGAACCTGCGCATGCGCACTCGCGAAGGAAACCAGCGCGTCCCGGAGCGTCCCAGACTGAAATTTGGCCGATCCGGGGTCAGATCCGTGTTGGATCCGCGTAGGGTTCGTCATGGTCCTGGACACCATCAAGGCAATTTTAAACTGTTTAAAAATTGCCTTGGTCATCCGGGACCGTCCGTGATGATTTTTGAATACGGGATAGTCCGGGACGCGAACTTTTTTTTCCTACGAACTTTTATACCTGGTGCATGCTCACATACGAACTGTTATACTTGACGCATGCAAGGAGGTCACAAACAATTAGACTTTGATTATTTATTGCTTTGCCTCACTATTTATAAAGGTAAAAAACTAAATAAACCGAGATTTGAACCCTCACGGCAACTCCAAGGTTCTATTAGTAACACGCTGTCCTTACCGATTGAACTAACGATGAGTTGATGAAGGATTGCTTTGTATAATTACTATCACCCTATTGACCGCCCTACCGGATTCCACGTGCGCATGCGTTGGTTTCCTTCGCGAGTGCGCATGCGCAGGTTCCCCTCGCGAGCTCAAAGTTCGTAGGAAAAACAATTTTTTTCCGACGAACTTTGAGCTCGCGAGGGGAACCTGCGCATGCGCACTCGCGAAGGAAACCAGCGCATGCGCACGTGAAATCCGGTAGGGCGGTCAATAGGATGATTATACAAAGCCGTCTTTCATCAACTCGTTATAGCTCAAGCGGTAAGGACAGCGTGTTACTAATAGAACCTTGGAGTTGCCGTGAAGGTTCAAATCTCAGTTTATTTAGTTTTTTACCTTTATAAATAGTGAGGCAAAGCAATAAATAATCAAAGTCTAATTGTTTGTGACCTCTTTGCATGCGTCAAGTATAACAGTTCGTATGTGAGCATGCGCCAGGTATAAAAGTTCGTAGGAAAAAAGTTCGCCTCCGGGACAGTCCAGGAGGTCAGTGTGACAGGGTCTTTATACCTTTACAGACTAGATAATTAGCCCGGGTAATGACGCAAACGAAATGATGCATCGTGCTCAACAGCCATTTGAGTTCAATAAGTTAACAATTAACTTTCAAATTTTGGTTTCGAAAACGGTCAACGACACATTTTATTTCATCGCGATAATGGTAATTAAAATAACAAATAATTACGGGATACAAGGCACCGTTTCACGAGGCTGTCATTGTTCAGTTTCACCGACATCTCATTGAAAAGTGTGCTAATTACAATACGAGCGTTTCTGTGGGATGTCGGCGAACTTGTACTTGTGACGGTTTCGTGAAACGCTGCCCTGATCAACTAACCAGCTACATTCATCGACAGAGCTGAATTCATCTGGCCTTGGTTCCGGACAGGATTGACCTTGCCCTCCTTTCTCCAATCCCATGATGACGGTACAGTCGATGACGATGATGACGTCACTGACGACTTCCACTTTCTTTCTGTATTGAGTAGTTTGGCTTTCACGTCAAACTTGTTCCGAATTTTACTCATATCCTGTAGCGATTGTAAATTTAAGAAAATAAAACATCGGTAAAGAAAACTGTATGCAAAGTTAGTAGTTAGTAGTTAATATATAAGTTAATATAAGTTAGTAGTTAATATTGGCATACTTAAGTCAGAGAACAACGATTGATTTTGGTATCACATCTGTCATTCCACAACAACATTTCCAGGCGCTTGCACTGAATAGTAACACTGAGAAACAAAACATATTGGAGAATCTTAACAAAAAACAATTTTACATCACTTAACAAAACATCGTGTAAAGTTCAATCTTGATATTGGTTGCCTTTTATGAGTTATTGTCAATGAAAAGCGTCAGATATTTCATTCATCGTGCTTTCTCTAAAATTAAGTATTTCCTATTTTGGTTGCCATGCTTAATATAATAATAATATTTAGCTTTTATATAGAGCTTAATACAATGTCTCAAAGCGCTTTACAAATACACAATTACTTTAAACTTCATGAAAACACCCCATGCAATCGCGACCGACCATCTAACTCTTTAAAATCAGTCAGTGAAACCCCGCCCTCCCCCCCCCCCACACTTTGGGGTCGAAGAGACCGCTTGCGTGTTCCCAAAATCTCCGGTAAGGTCCGGCCCGCCATTGAATTTTACAACGGAGATAGGGGAATGCTTTCAAAAAGAGGGAACATGCATACCAAACGTAATATGTAACCGTGTTTCCATCAGGAACATGTCCACTTCTATTGTTAATGGATTCATTACTAGCATATCTTACCTGATCCGCAAACCTGTTCATCGCCATCTTAAACGACCGTCTTCCCTCACCGTAAGCTCTGTTGTTCTCGTCAACGAGTCGGTTGTTCTTGACCCATGTCTTCCATCGGACGAGCTCCTCCTCCTTCGTCGAGTACCGTCTACCATGCTGCGCCTTCCAGCTCTTCCACGCTATCGACTCCGACGGGCGACCGTACGACTCGTGGAACACAACCACCAGCACAGCGATGATCAGTAGACTTCTCGCCATGTTGAGTATATATCGCGTTGATGATGACAATCCAATGATTGAACAATGCGCTTTATCATATACTCTAGCTTATTCAAATACTAACAGACCTACAATGTGTTTACGCCAACCTGTTGGCTACGCATCCGTGGCGAAAGCACCCAAGAATACCTCACACTACACGGTGACAGCGTTTTTCTCTGTCAAATCCAGTTATCCCCATGTCCACAGCACTTCAAAGTTAACACCAAGTAAAACCAACACCAAAACTTCGGTACCAGTAGTCTGCAGATACCCCAGGTTATAAACTTTATGATATCACATGCATATCATAACTTACAAAGTGCATGTTTATTGATATTATACCTGTATTTTGCACGTGACAGACTAGTCTTCTGTATAGGGCTTTTTGTTGCAGTCAATTTAAATTCTACTGCATTGATTGACATGGATAAGGAATTTTAATAATGGCCTTTATCAAGACTTCCATGAAGCTACTCGCTATGTACATTATATTCGTGCCATTTATTTGTACATACTTTTAACTTTGAAAGAACATTATTTTGTTCTCTCGTTCTGGATAAAGACTAAGCAAATTAATGTTAAACCCCACTGTTAATGATTGGTGCGCTATGTTGGAACAACTCGTGGTTCGTCACGAGGTTTTGTTTATTAGGGCATGTTTATAAATAAAATGTCTCGTGATGCACATGATTTGTTTTCCCTTCCCTCCAACAAACATTGTATTTCTAATTCTGGGTCTGAGTCAACAAGAAAAGCTACAATAGCTACCGGCGTGCGCCTTTTACACTTCAGGAGGTCATAGTTCAAAGTCTATATATCGAGCAATAGTACATATGTATGCCAACGCTTGAATGTACGGTAGGGGCGTTGAAAAACAAGGTTTGGTACACAGTTCATCATTAAAATGAGAAGAAGCACAAACATACCAGATGGAGGCATAGCTAAGTGATTGATAAAATAATTGATAAATTAAATTAAAAATAAATAATTTTATGAATAACATATTATTTTGCGAAAGAAAATGAGTTAATGGTCCTTGCAATACAAAACAATAGGGCTTGGCTCGCTCTAATCTGAAATAAAACTTGTGTTTCCTGTTTTAGAGATAGAAATTGGAAAATATTGAACATATGAATTGGAAGCGAAAATGAATCATACAAATGATTTTATTTTAATTAAAATGAAAGCGGAAATGAGCAATGAATGGATATGCAAAATGTCTTTATTGCATGAAACTGTACTACGATGCATTTACACTGTACTTCAATAGGTGGGGGTGGATTGTTCTGTTATTTTTCTATATTTGTGGGTGTGTATGGGTGTGTGTGTGTTTGAAACGTATAGATGTAGGAAAAGTGGGATAGCGGAAGATAAAATACAGAATAAAAAGTGAGGTATAGAAACAGAAATAGATAGTTATTGAGTTATTTCTCAAAGTGAATAAAATACAGGAAGAAAATATTTTGTATTTGTATGTACCCGGTTAAACTCATGAGCAAAAAATTAAGATAACACAAATGAATAATATTACTGTGACAAAGATTTATTCACAATATGACAGCAAAAGGCAAAACATAACCCTAACGAAAATATCCATCTTGTACACAGCTTCAAAATAGCATTAAAATCAATTGAAAGATATTTGCAGCCGCACGATAAGCTCCGCAACATCCTTTCTCTTAAGATTAGATTTTCACCAACATCTTACTATCTTCATCCTTCAATAACAATCGTTTAATGTGAGTTTTAAAAACTACGATTATAATAATAAAGCAATTCAATAAAAATCTATCTGTACACTGAATACATAATATAATTCAACTGAAACCTTCCTAGTTTTCTTTATTAAACCTGAATACTAACTCTACAATGCACGTATAATTGTTTTTTCTTCTAGCTTTTCCTTTTTTCTATAAACATTGCACGTAATTTTCTCAAGAGGCACTTGAACTTGATCAGCAACATATTGAATCTATACATTAAAAAGGCAAAACTTAATTCATCCCTTTTATCATGAAAAACATGCCGGTATCTCTCGAACAAGTCATACTACAAGACATTGCACACAAATTATTTCACACATAAACAAAAGGCATTTTCTATTCCGTTTGGTAATAACTAGCGTATAAAGCGCTTAAGGTGCTATACAGTTCCTCTCTGAAATAAATCTTTCTAACAAACATTTTCGTTAATACAAATCTTAGCATCAACATCGTATAAAACAGGACTTTGAGCAGCCACTTAAGCGACAAATTATTCCATCACTCATAAACGGCTTTGCATTTAAGTGTAGAAATAGTAACAGCAATGAGCATCAGCGACAGTTTTTATGCGTATTGACTGCGTGAAAGAATAATATTAAAAATACCCTGTTGACTGGTTAGCAGGCGAAAGATAAAACGCTACAATATAATCTTTCATAAATGAATTAAAAACATTCCTTAGCAGCATAATTATTGTTCTCATCATAATTATCATATGAAAGGTAACTGAACCAACACTCAAATAAAGACGACCTAAACCACTCGATACTAAAAAGGGATAACTCATAATTATAATCTTCACAATTTTAATCAGTTATTTAGAGGAATACAAATGAATTCAATCAAGAAACAAGGGGAATGCTATATGTCTATTTAAAAAATTTGCTCGAAAGCTTACATACAAAGGGTGAAGAAAAATATAATTTAAACAGTAGTGATTCAAAAATAGATAATGATGATGATTGGGATGATGATGATGATGAAGACGATGATGAAAACGCCCACCATGCCAACGATGATGACGACGATAGCGATGATGGAGAAGAAGATAATGAATACAACCAATGACAATAATAATGATTAGCAATATTAATCCTAACAGTATCAAAACTGTTGAATACCATTATCATCATTATAATAATCATCATCATCACTCATAATTTACCATTCTCATCATCATTATCATATTATACAGATTATCATTTACCCCATACAAAAATAATATAATAACTCACTTTACAAATCAATGCACAATAAAAGATTACAACTGTCGCTGTTACTACCAACATAATTTCGTGTACTTTAAATTCTCATCATAAAAAGCCGGTATGACATTTCAACTTTTACCACTGACGTATTGCATCCAATTCCCGATATATTTCTGACACAACCTATCATGAACTGCCACATGCAGCATTAGAAATTTTAAAAATAACATCCCTTGTACCAAAAATGTCCTTTAAAAGTGGAAATGGCCTGCAACTTTCTGCAATCAAACGCAAATATTGTAATAGCCAATCAGCATTTAGATTTTCACGTTTACAATTTTGAAAGGTAGGCTCTGATTGGTCAAATACAGACAAAGTTAAGGAGATAAAATGGCAAATATATTTTAAATGCAACACAAATAAACTCGTAGTATATATCTTGTGCAAGCTAAAATGTAGATCTTGTGCTAGACGTTTGGAACTTTTTTGTCATTTAATCTATCGACTGTCGATCCGTATTCAATATCAAGTAATAATTGATATTTCACTTCAACTTTATTTTCATTACACGTTTTGTAGGATTTCAAACAACAGACTGTAAAGGAACTCAATCAACGCTGACTACACTCTTTTACGGTTAAGGCCGCCATTTTAATTTACGGGTAAACATTACGTCATCAATGTTTTCAGATATTGCTTCGTCACTGCCTGCGCTGTGCGCTTACATCATATTTACATGGGCGCCATCTTAAATTACGAGTAAACAACTTTGGCGCCCCTGGCTGCGCATGCGCACTCTTGTAACCGTGAAAGGGTGTATAGCCCATTGATAAAATAATATTCACATTAACAAAATCAATTATACAGTTGACAATTCATTGATACAGGTCAATATTAAAAAAATTTGTTGGTCCATAAGCGCGGAATGAACTTTTTTTTTATCAATTAGAATTACCATAAAGAACATGCTTTGAGAGGTTTTCTTAATGTTTAGTTCTCGTATTGTATCTATAATTTCTAAAAACGACTACTGTTTCTTCAAGCAGAACAATTCAATGTATATTTGTATCTGTTTAGGGGGAAGTGATCGCGGTCATGTCCATCATTAATTGATTCTAGCTGTTCCAGACCCGATGATGGATATAGCGGGTTGGATCACACCGGTTACCTTGATCTTCCTCGAGAAGAGACATTCCTTGGAAGAACCATCATAGAAGGACACTTTCCCAGCCTCAGCGTCCAAGAGAACACCAATAACATTGGACTCAATATTACACGACCTGGGACTTGAAGCCTTCAACGGTGCCCTGCTCGAGTTCTTCTTTGGCGACGACGTCGGAGACGGCAGTGTCAGCTTACCCATGCAATGCGTGACGAATACGGTGGGATCCTGCAACGAAACCTCGTCGTCCAGTTCGTCGCTACTGTCATGCCCGCTGTCGCGATCAGCAATGGCGTCTCCGCCGTTGCTGCGGCTGAAGCGTTCGGCCATGCGCTCACTGGCAATGCCGACGTGGATAGCGAGAGTGGACTTGTCAACTTGGACTTCCCAGTAGTTTTTCCCCATCGTCAGCTTCTTGTCTCCCACGAAGTGGACGGGTTCGAGAGCGATGGGCGAGGTCGGAAACGAGCTGGAGTTCGAGGAGAACAATGTTGATGTTGGTGAGACGAGGACCTCCTGGCCATCCTTTCGAATCTTTGAGGATGTATGAGCAACGCTGGATTGGCACTGGATCCACTTGAAAGGCAGCACTGGAAACGAAATACAATATTAATCATGAACGTTACACATCTGAAAAAATGGTTCCTGTAAAATATCTGGCTTAAATACTTGGTATTCACTATAGAGGGGGGCCATACTACGTCATGGATATAAAACATACAAGTACTACCAAATATATTTTTACCAGCATCATGAATTATTAGGAAATAATTTTGTCACCTAGCTTATGTCATAGCCTCAAGTCATTATAGGGGTAAATCAACAACAATTTAACAAATTGTATGCTTTTTACCGGAATCAGTATTACAGCATCCTTTTCAGTTCCCACTTTGTCTTCTGGGTATTGAGTGGGAAATTTAAATTCATGTGTTGTCAATGGACATGTAATAGTGATGTATCAGGGCCTGAAAGCCGACAAGTCTTTATTATATTTCTACCTCAAAATGGAAGACAGTCTTGTATATTGACACTGATTTATTGATCAGTCAGTTTATTTGAGTTACAATTCATAATCTTCTTTTCTTTAAGTTTTTTTGTTAAGCCAAATAAAAATGGTTTCATACCTGGAGCTGGCGGTGTTTTCAAAAGTATACACTCGCTTGATTTCGTCCCCGCAGGATTAACAGCCTTCACCCGAATTTTATACGAAGAATTCATCTCTAGATTGCTTTGCTCATACTGACATTCCGTCAGTCCCGAAATCGTGGTCCAATTTTCGTCATTCTCGGATTCATCTTGGTCGTCGCTAGCGTTGTTGAGCGGTAGGCTGGTCGGTCTTTCTATACCTTCGTCTGTCGTCTGTTTGGGGTCGAGCTTTATGTACTCCAAAGAGTAAGAGGCAACAGCGCCCCCATCGGCCGATGGCGTCCATTCGAGACAGGTACAACGGTTGGATGATTTCGGCTGTAATACTGGCTTGCCAGGAGCTGCAAGATAAAAAGATATGTCATATTGTTTTTATCTTGACGTTGAAGGAAATAAATGAAATGCAATAAACTATAATTTTAATTTTTAAGAGAACGTTTCCGCGCAATATCGGGTATGCGACAGACGCATACCCAACTGTTCATTCCGAGAAGTGATTAGTACCATTATGGATCGTCGTGTTCGACAATGAAAATAAAAAATACTCAATGGAGCAAAAGTGAGATTTTATGGGAAAAAAGGAAATTAATCCTGATGAATCGGAAGAAGGTGAAAACGTCGACTTTCGTGTCCAGCAGTCGCAAAGTAACTTACAAATAAAAACTTTTAAAACCTGGGTCGAGAGAAACAGTTGAGGTTAAAATGCCCTGTCTGAGGTCACTGAGGTCCAGCGGATGAACATAGAAGAAGAACAAAGAATCAAAATGTGGAAACAGTTGTCAGAGTATCATAAGCAAACATGAAAAAAGACACAATCATGTTTCAAGCGCAAGCAAGTGAAAGATATTGGGAGTATACGAAATGGTCCGAGATTACAGGCAGATTACAATGCGCGTTAAAGAGTCAAGCAATACTTCAAAATATACCTTTGGTGAAATCGAGTTCCTGGAGGGATTTGAGAGCAGCTGTTGAGTCGAGGGTGAAGTCACCAAAGGTTTCGTAGTTGTCACTCATCTCCTCTGTCTGCTTGAGGGATCTTGCCGTTTGCACCAATCTGGGAAAATAAACATTATACCATCGTCAAATTATTTGATAGGTACGATGTTGCTTTCCAAGTGTGTTGAAATCCAGAAGATCATTAAAGTGGACCTTTTAGTACAAATTTATCTCTCTTCTGGCTCTGGACACAATGAATATTGGTCACCGTTATAATAATTATTTTAAGAAAAGCGTATCTCCATTGATTGCAAGTTTGTTTTTTTTTATGAATATTGGTTATAAGCATATGAAGGTGATTGTACAGATGTCCTTACACAGATTTTAAAACACAGTTGACTTGATTAAGTTGCTACATAAATGAAGGCTCAATGATCATCCTGAATTGGTAAGTTACACATAATAATGAATGCCTCTTTCTGTCTTGTGTCCTCACCAGAGTAGATTTATTAAAAGAATAAACTGAAATGGTTCTACACACCTTCCTACAAGCGGTTTGGCAGCTTGTACGAACATAGCCTTGTCCGTCTCCTTGAGCAGTTCAGACGCCAAGTCGGCAACACTGCAACCCTGGAGGACCTCCTTGTAGGTGTCTAACACCTTGCGAATATTCTGTGTCCTTCGGGTCACCTCCTCCGACGCCCTCTGCGTCAGGACATTGTGCTTCTCGCTTAGCGTTGTTTGTAACAGTTCCAAAGCCTCGGCCAGCGCCTTCTGCATTGCATCCGAATGCTCCTACAGATATGATCATGAAATGAAAAAGTGTGTTATTAAAGGGACATTCTATTCTGTAATGGGAAAAACTAGGTCCGCTGCACGATATGTCATTTTGATTACGTTATAAGCTACACTGGCCAAGCCTGGATAGGCTATTGATCTATACGCCAGTCACTAATAAATGTATGTACAATGTTTGGACTGCTCATTTTGGAGTCAATTTTTTGTTTGATACCATGTCATTCTCACACAGTATCACATGGATAATCAAAGACCGCACCCAAGTCGCCGACGCGGTCCTCATGTGAAACGGGCATCGGAAAGGGTGCGAAATGAAGAAAGTATAGACATTAACGCATCCATATAGAAAAACAAAATTGTCAGGGAAATTGAAATTGGAAGTCAGTGTTTATTGTTCATTCAGAAATTTGTTTATCACGACTAAAAGTGTACAGAGATCAATTTAGAAAAGAGATATGATCAAAGTCATAGACAGTTAAAGTTAGCCTACAAAGACTTACCTCAATAGAGGAGGAGATCTTCTCAAGTTTGGCGACCTGGCCTGAGATATTTTGGCGCCTTTTAGCAATGGCAAGTATCGTCTGCTCCATCTTCTCCTACAGAGAGAACGAAAATCACAAGATTGGTCAAAGGTCATAATCTAAAATGATTCCATTTAACAGACACAATTTTGGCCAAATGCTTTGGCAGAGGTGCGTGATATGATGACGACATCACTTCGAGTACGACGTGACGACGTTTCATTGTCCGACCTCTGATCCCGACAATCATTCACTCACTCACGATCACCACAGCAGGCGCCCTCAACCTCGCGTTCTGCCCAAGGTTAACCTCTCGTCATTTTTCCACTTTTGGTAATTCAACCCTGACCAATGATGTTATAATAGTTATGAAGCCAGTTTGGTCTTCAGGAATTCTGTCACCCTTGGTCCAAACTGAGTAAACGTAATGGCCGTGTGAACTTTTATACATAGGGAATGGTTTTGGAGGGCCATAGCAATTTTGCATGTTGAAGATACGGACTTGCTCAAAAGTAGCCTGCAGCATTTAGTACTTTATGTTTTAGTCCAAACAAATAATTATATAGCGCAACGAGTGCCAAGTCTGATATACATGAGCGCTTAATAAGGACTCACAATTGTTATTATTATTATTTGTATTAATACCATTAATAAAGGTATACATTCACATATTACTCTTGTTGGTAGTCCCATACCTTCATTGAGGCGTACTTTCTCTCGATGATAGATACTTTGTGATCAGCATGGGCTCCGCTGAACTTACACCTATGGCAGATCGGCTTGTGGCATCCCTCGCAGTACATGGTGATCTTCTCTCCATGATGATCATTGCACATCAGGGTCTAAAAGAAAGAAAGGTCAAAAGAAAATTCCGATTTAAACAGATGACAGTTTTGGTTTCGAGAACCTGGCCCCCGTTTGCCTTTTTCCACACTAGAATAGATTATTACCTCCTTTCCTTTTTGCCTGTTCGTCCACATCTCATCATTCGATCTATAGCCTTTCATTTTTGTCTGCAGAAAGAGGCATTTACATTCTTCAAAGAAAATACCCGGAGAAACATTATATGATCTTTAACTTCAAGAAATTATTGACAAATTCAACGTAGTCCCACCTCATGTTCTATATAACTAAAACCACTACAAGGAAGTCGAACTTGGATGTTATTACTGACCCCCGACAGGCTTACTTGGAACACAGAACTATACTCCAAAACGCAAACAACATAAAAATGTCATTGTCCACTTTGTCCCACTTCCTTAAAGGCCCACTGCACTACTGGTAGCTACTTGCGCCCTCTATATAACAAACAATGCCTAATCGGTGACCATTGGTCCCCCATGATCCTCTTTTTTTATGTTAAGTGAGAACTGAGTTGATGAGATAACCACCTGTCCAGTGACCTTGTAGAGCGGTTTAATCCCTCCTGTAAACTACGGCAGATAAGCTTTAAGTTAGCATAGAAAGAAAAATGCTCCTCCCTTATCAACAGGGAGTTGTGAGTTGGTCTCGCGGTATGTTCTCTTGGTCAGCTCCCTGTCTTCCCCTATGATACAAACTAGCCCAGGCGGACCCCGGTTCGAAACTGAATCACATCTTCCGGCCGGTGACGTTAAAGATCCGTCCCCAGACGTAAATAATCATATCTGATTGATACACGTCTGTAAAAACCCAATTAATAATAATAATAATAATAATAATAATAATAATGTTTAATTTTTAAAAAGCGCTTAAATTAAATGTCTCTAAGCGCTGTGCAAATATACTATTACCCCAATCATTGGATTCAGTGCTTGCCCGCACACACTGTGTGCACAATCTCCACTCCCTGGGGAGCATTCCAGCCGGGCGTTACTTGACGTTCACAAGCTGTTTGACCAACAATGACGGCCGCATCCTACACACAAATCATGATATCTGCTTAGGATATACGCATAAGTTGTCTGCAAAACACTCTTACCTAGCTAATGAGGCAAATACATTACATTTCATTCATTGTGAATCACCCTAACGAGCAATATAATGTTCTTACCTTTGGTCTGTAGTTGTAGGTGGGTCCGATGCAGACATGCTGTGCCCTTGGTGTCCCCCAAGGATGGTAGGTAGCAAAGCACTCAGTACAGTAAGGGGACTTGCAATCAAGGCAGCTTTTAGCCGCATCCTCAGGTGGCCTCTTCTTGCAGGAACCGCAAGGGATACTGGCCGCCTTCTTGGCTGCCAACTTATACCTGGTGAGGAAGAGAAGAAGAATATTTGGATATACAGTCAAACCTGTCTATAGCGGCCGCCCAAGGGAAACACAGAAAGTGGTCTATATAGACAGGTTCCTTTAGTACATGTTTCAATACGAAACCATTTAAAAGAGAAACAAAAACGTGGTCTTTGTAGACAGGTGGTCTTTGTCGATAGGTGGTCACTAAATCAGGTTTGACTGTATCATACAAATAATGCGGAATCTATAATTTACCCTAAAATATTTGATCTAATTCATATAGTCGCCCGCATATTGGGGAAATCTTTGTGCTATTTTGTGTCCAACATGTTAATGTCAAAATAGGAAAGATAAGTCGTCGGTCAATGGATTATCTATAGCCAGGTCTTTATAGCTCACAATGTTAGTCTCGCGGGCCTTCTGATAAGTTTTCTACATGGGTTCAACGAACCGGCCTTATTTCGTCTGGTAGACTGTCGATCTACTGGGATAATCAGTTGATTATGCCAAGAAAAGTGAGTCCTTAATTTAGATTGAAACCGACTGAATGTAACTATGTTTTAGCAGTTAGTTGATGATGATGATGATGATTCATTTTTGTTCCTCTTTCAATTTTTACATATATACATATTAATATACGTATAGATCAATTTGCACATTACAATACATTTAAAAAACATGATTATTGAAACAGAAGGAGAGCCGTCTAAAAAGCAGAGCTTGCAGGGTGTAGGCCCCCTGTAAAAGTAATTATTATGAATTATTATTTTATGAGGGAAAAACAACAACAATATGATGATCGTGATCATGATCAATATCATCATCATCCTCCTCCTCTTTCTCATCATCATCATATATTTGACAGTATATAATGCAATACATTATAACATCCCAAATACGTTTAAATAATACAACATAAGCATGACATTTGTACATTTCATCAGATTACATAGAATGTATAACTATACTGCTTGTTCAATTTATTTCAATACTTTGATACTATATACTTACATGATTTTAAACACAATGATTCATTTTCTCCGCTTTTTTATTCCTAAAACTATCCATTAGCTTTCCTAATAACAATCTCTTTTCGCACCACAATTTTCAGAATGTCAACGGGTAATCAAATGTAAAATAGGAGTGTTGGTATAGAGAGTTAATTAAATTAATCCTACGCATGTCCTAGACTTAAGCATACATATATCATTACTCTATGGGCTCGAAAACAAAGTATATCTACTTTCCAAAGAATATAAAATCAGGGATTAATCCCTTTTGGTTAGACGCAAATTTATAGCAGTGAAATTCTTCAATGAGTTCATGAACTTTCTCAGCTTGTTGTGCTATTTACGTACTATTTGTCAAGCTTGACGCAAAACACACACACACAACTATCTGCAACTATAGTTGACACTGTCACGGGTGAGCGCTCAGCAATGCCCCACCAAAGTTTAGGAATGCCGTGGGATGAGAAATAATATAATTAATTCTGACGTGACAAGCTAATGATATTGACCTTGGCATAAACATCAAGGCAACTGTATTAACTGTATTCTTACTTTAATATTGTATTGCACATGTTTACTTCAGTATCAGATTGTTTTATAACTCTTGCCACTATTTCCGCTAGCCGCAACACCATCATTTTATACCTCCCTGATTTCTTTTGAAAATATAGGCCCTACGTAAATGTACTTATATTATATCAAGGTACATGTACAGCTTATCCCCAACACTTTACATTGTCACGACTGTGAGCAAGAACAGGAGGAAAAGGGCGACAAATATCTAAACATGACAGAATGGTTTTGGCGATCAATTTCTCAAAGAAATCAATATACATTTCTAAGCATTAACAATAACTGAAGGACATGTTGTTGATATGCAAGTACATTATTTTAATGTCCTTGCTTGCTGTTTTGGGGTTTTCAAATAATGTTCACATTCACCGAAACGTAGCAATTTTTATCTTGTTTTTACAACTCATCCTTTAAAGGTAGTATATCCCTTTTGCAGCCAATCTCAAATGCTGTAGAACTTTGCAGGAATTATGAATATCATGTCATGTATGTCCTATCTGTGAAATTTAAACGTTAGCAGTGTCCTCATATTCAAATTATGCAAGGAAAACCGTTTACTTGCTAGACTTCACCGTCAGACACTATTGAGTGACTGACTGGCTTTTTTTCTTCTATGGTAATAACATACATGAAAAGAGTTGTAAATGGTACATGAGCATTAATTTTTGTCTACAGCAATAACCCACTTCTTGTGATGGCCAAGTTTAAACTGATTGAATCTTTGCGCAGCATAAAACGTATGACCATTCGGTACAATTGTCTGAAAATCAAGACTATTACTTTTGGGCTCTATAGCCCTAAAGTCGATTTAAAACTAATAGTCGTTATTTTCCCACTTGAAGACATTTTCAAGCCTCACCTTTTTTAGGGAAGTTCTAAATTAGTATTATCTTTCAAATGCAGTTGGAATTTAACTTTTTCATTTTTTGGCCTGCAAATGGGACATAGTACCTTTAAAAAAAACTTGTCATGCACACTGCACTGTTGTTATTATTAAATTGCCATTGATATTGTGTCCGACTGGAATGTATTTCCCCCGCAGTAGATAATCCTGTCCCCTCCCACAAGTATCCTCCTCATAGTTTGATGTAATCAGGGGCCTGTTATCATAAAACTTGTTATCAATAACAAGTTACAACAACTGTTAAAGGTAAAGACCAGTTATGGTCATGCGATTGCATTGTGAAAGAAACGTTGTGGAATCAATCAGAAAAGGTTGATCATCTAGCATCTAGCATCTGCAAGGTTCTGGAATCATCAAAATGATAAGAAATTTGGCCCATTCTTCGTAAAGTTACAAGCACTATACACAGAAAGATGTATATGGGACTACCCTTTATCTCTCACAGACCATGAGAGAAACAAATTTACCAAATATATGAATTAGTAGGCGGTTTCCCGGCAAATTTTTTATCATCATGTATTAGTCAAAACATATTCTTTCACATGATTGGTAATGAGAGCTTCCATTTCATTTTTTGAATTTGGGGCGTTTCCAATACTGGTCTTTACCTTTAAAAGCTAGTGCAATCGTGGCATTTGATCGGCTGAGATCAACTAATTTGTCATAGAAATTTAGCATTTCTTATTGATAGCAAGTTTTATGAAACAGGGTCCTAAAACACGATTATTGGCTGATCCAAAAAGAAATCTCGGGCACGCTTTCGCGGCGATAACCATTTTTGAATGTGTGTGTGCTCAGCGCGGGACTCGAACCCAGGAACGAGACGAGAGTAACTTCAACTTGATATCAGGAAGTAATTCCCATGAAAAAACACGACTCTTAGTCTCAGACTTACCTGTCAACGACGACCTCCAGAGCGAAGTTCCTGAAGAGACCATTGATGCCCTTCTCCCCGAGACTGACCTCTTCATCGCAGGTCGGGCAGCGTATCGACGTCGCCGTCGTGCCATTCAGCCTCCCCGTCGATGACGTCCGACCTCTGTGAAGGATAGAAAAAAATACAAAATATTTGTAGAATATTTGGTTTGATGTCATGAACAGGTTGCCAAGAGTCATTACCAAACCTCCTTCTTTAGCGCCATGCTTTGAGCAATAGTCATAAACGAATGAGCTCAATAAAGGCTTCTAATGAGTTGTTTCTTTGGTTTACCTGTGTAATGTGCAAGAATATATTGTACGGGAAATAACTTTAACATGAAGGTAATGCTATCTGTATGAGCCAGAAAGATCTATTTTGAGTCTACACTAAAAATCTCAGGCGGGATTTGCCGCCCATGGCCTGGTAGGAGAAGAATTCTGCTATTTGCTGAAATGTCATTTGCTGGATGCTGCCGAGTCTAAAGAGAAGCCAACACGCATAAAACTCAAATGATATTAGTGCACGTGACCTCAGTATTTTATAGGAGATATCGCTATATTTTTATTTTCATCATCTTTATCATCATTATCGGTGACATTTTGATAAGATTAATATTTATTCATGTTCTTCATCAAGTGAGGTCAGGGGCGTCACTACAATGTAGATGTGGTTAAGTGTGTGTTTTTTCTGTCAATTCCTCTGTACATTATGCTTAATATTTACCGTACATAAAAAACTACTCACTTTCATGACTTATAGGCTACTTTAGACAATTATATTTCAGAAAAGGTATTTCAGGGGATGGAATTATTGGGACTTTTTGTAATTTCATACAAAATAGGTATTGTTTTTACCTCATTCCTAGGGTTCCGCTGAAGGAATCTGATCTGCTCCCCATACTGGTCACGCTCCCTGTAGATCCCTTGCGTCCCCTTGGGGTCTCAGGTGGACCTGCCAATACATCCCCTCTAGGGGAACCTGGGCGGGGCGATTCGGATATAGGCGATTCCGGTCTTGGGGATTGTGTGCCAGGTGTGCCCGGCTTCTTGGATTTCGTCCTCACTTTATCTCTGGGTGTAATCGGACCCGAACCCGTCACGCTCTTCCGCTCCCGAAACGATCTCCTCATGGAGCTCCTGGTCGCCGTGTTAAAGCCGCCGCCGGGCGTGTCCAACGGAGAGGTGGGCGTGCTTGATAGTGACGTCAGAGATGGCTTCCGCGCCTTGCGATTGGCTGCTGCACTGCTTGGCCGCGAGGAAGTGGGCGTGGTCGTCTCCTGATTGGTGTCGGTGGACTGGAGGCTCTCGCTGGAGGCGTGGAAACTGCAACGCCCGGAGTTGCCCGTGAGCTGTGCCTTGGCGCATCGATGGCACACGTTGTGATTGCAGGGAAGGAGAAGGGGCGTGGTGAAGTAATCACTGCAGAGAGGACAGATAAGCTCTCGCTCGAGATGCTCCATGTTATTGGCCATCATGGAGAGACGGTGCACAATATCTGTAGAAAACAAAGAAAACATAATAAAACATTACTCAAGATGAACGAGTGCGAACATGATTCATTATGTGCGTTATCAACAGACTTGGATTACATTCAGAATAGATGTCTTTCGTAACATTCAAACAGGGAGTGCTCATGTTGGACCAATCAGTGATCTGAAATCCACTCAGTTGAATCACTTGGCAGGAAATGAAACACTTAGCTGGATGGATCTGAAAACGCGCACAAACCTGTCGCATACGTGGCTTCTTTTAGATAGTTGGTATAAGCATTTGTTATAGGTCCATGGTATAATATAAGCATCTTTGGAGGGTGCTTAGAATTACCTCAAAGAAGCTGTTGGTTCACAAATGTGCTTACCAACACCTTTAAAGGAGCTATTGTTTGACAAGCTCGAGAACCTTAATGGCTTCGAAAGAACCCCCTTTTGAGTATAGTGTACCCTTGTAATGATGTCGGCCTGTCATGAACCCTCACTGAACAGTTCTGGCTCTCGACTTGACGAGCACACTAATCACTATCAGCAAAACCTATGGTAATTGGACCGAACCCTATAAAGACCATCTTAACAATGTTTATGCCCTCATGACCAGACAGAGGCGACTGGGATACTCCAAGGCACCCGGTAGGTCAGGGGCAGTTTGGCTAGGAGATCAGACAGGTGTTGGTGGCGGTTAATGATGTCATTAAAGGATGTCATTATAAGCTGACTTAATGCATTGGCTTCTTCCGTTTGACTCACCGACTCTAGCCGGCTAGCCTGCGAGGGGGAGTTGGAGGAGTGGGGTAAGGGAGGGGAGCGGGTTCACAGTATAGAGTTTATGCAATACTAAAGAACAGAGAAAGTTACATGAAATTAAATGAGAATTGCCAGAAATGTACGTAACAGCAGGGATATATTAGAGTGTTTGACACAGTGACACCTCCGATACAGTGTGTCTCTTTGACAGTCTGACAGAATCTATATTTTTCAAAACCCTTTTAAGTGTTAGTAGCCTCAACAACTCTGATGGCAAACTTTCATTTAAATTATATAATGTTGTGAAAAGGATGTCGTTTAACACACACATCTGCAAGGATTTTTTTAAAGAAATGTATTTGAAGACGAATAGTGATGACAGATAACAAATATCTGGGTTTCCTGCGTAGAACAGAAACCTAAAATATTGTATTTTTCATCTAATATTTACCCTAAAATGTATATATTTTGAAAATCCTTGAAGAAGTGTGTGTTAAATGACATCCTCTTTCACATATTGATACAATTAAAAAAAAATTGCCATAAAATATTCGAGAATCCCAGCACTTTGGAGGGGCTTTAGGCCAAACGCGCTTTACTAGCAACCTGCACACAGAAATTCACATTTTAAGAAAGTACAAGAGAGACCTAAATGTTCTTCAGATTATGTTGATTACTCGGCCACACTTGGCGTTCCATAATCAGAAAACGAACCATGTCTGAGGCCCTTCGTTCTAAACCCTCTGACTATTGATGCGACTGTATCATACACATAGCACCCCATAGAAGAAATATGCTGAATTCACCGTTGTATCAATACCTTCCAATGGTGTTGCGAAAGAGTTGATGTCGATATCGAATTTGGTTTGAAAATTGCAATTGATCTGATGGTTTATCACGTTTACCAAGAGATTTGAGACATAGATTTACCCGTTATTTACGAACAACTGTGAACACAAGGAGACAAATATGATTGCATGTATATAATTTATATGGGTTCATTTATCATATAATAATGGTCTAATTTGCTATGAAAACTGCACATTTTCATTGGTTAAGTGCTTTGGCATTTTATTTGTGGCGCTTTCACCCTCAGATTTTATTAAGTTTAAATCCCTTGCTATCATTTTAATAATTCAACGAGTACAAGGATGACTTTGGGGCCAATCCATCAAAGATTAAGACATTGTATTGGTGGCTTAGCACTTGTCACTTTTACTGAGCATAAATATGAACAAACGGGCATACATCATGGTCATGATCGAATTCATGCGCACATATCAGAGTTATCTTGATAAAATAAATAAAGATCCTCGCCCCAAAGTTTTCTCTCTAGTTTTATATAAGTATTGATGGACTTGGTATATTGTTAAAATTCGACTGAGCAATACTTGTTGCTTTAATGCTCGTATAGAGCATGGATTATTATATTATATTGTATTTGTATGATTAATTACGAATGAAAAAAACATTTTCAGACTGATTCAGACTAACGGTTATGTTCAGTACTGTAAAGAGACACGACTCAGTCGATTGTATAAAACAGAACTACAGGAGCACTGATATATATATATATATATATATATATATATATATATATATATATATATATCTATAAAGTGAGAAAACATATAACCCACACAAAGTAGTTAATTTCGACATAATGATTAATCTGTGATAAAATGAAAGATAACTATACCTTATAGAATAGATTGTTAGTGTAAATAAACTGCACGATGAAATGAAAACCATATCCAAAGAAGCATCAAAGCCAAAAATATATCGTGTACAATATATTGATTTAAAGCCATATCTTACCACTTATAACACCAGAAACACACGTATAGAAATAATCCAGTAAGGAAGCTGAGCGAATGAACTATGCCATGTAAACGATAAATGAAACACGTCCCTTGCACTGCATGAAGCTAGTCAAGCCGCGCTATCAGATTCACTTTCATATTGAATACAGCAGTAGACATGATACACTCCAACTCGCTATTGACACAGTCGTATCAATACAATCGACATAAATTATCACAGGTAGTGTACATGCAATATGTCAACAACAATCCTTTCTTACCACAAGCTTAGTACGTTCACAGAAAAGGGAATTTATTAGCATATTCCGGCGGTAAGAGAGGATCAATACAAATGTAGTTTCAACGAGACTCTCTCTACCTCGCGTCATGCAGCCCAAAACATTCACAGAAACGCGAATATATCCGTTTAATCCGGCACTAGTCAAAGACAAAAGGTAAACCATATTTTTGTTTACATCGAGTCGCCCGATACGAAGCTATGCGTCAGGAATTAATTTGGTTTTCAGTATAATTGTGATAATCATACACAATGACAAGCTTGAGTGGATTTATATCATGGAAATTGAATTCATTTCATCAATACTGATCCAGCGCATGCCAATCATTGTTCTCCTGGCTAACTGCGTAATTTCGCTCATCAGACTGCGTTCAACCGTGTCCCGTTCTACCCTTCAGACAGAAAAACAACTCAATAAAATATTTTTAAAATGGATAATATTGTTCTATCTCTAAAATATTTGTGCTCAGGAAAGAGAGAGATAGAGACAGAGAAAGAGGAGAGAGAGACAGAGAAAGAGAAGAGAGAGCGAGGGAGAAAGAGTAGAGAGAGAAAAACAAAAGAGAGTATGGGTATAGAGAAAAAAAGAGAAGAGAGAGAGAAAGAAAGAGATAGAGAGAGGGATATTATATGGAAAAAAGTTCCAATTAAGATAAGTATGAATATGATTTTTGTTTCAGTCAGTTTGCTTGAAAAATCTTGTGTCCTAAACATTATTATGTAATTAACGTTGAGAATAATTCTGCATTCTTATAAAAATGGTGAATTTGAATTTATGACTTGGCGAACATTTTATAAAACCATATATAAAATGTATGTATATAAATTGTGGTGCAAAATGAAATGAAAAGATAATCACATTTCCATATTTAACTGAAGCACATTTCTCTTTTCAACCAAACTGTATCACGTTTTATGTTATATTTGTAATCGAGATTGGACTCCGCGATACAAATCCCCGTATACCTGCCCGTTAGCAGTTTGCTTGTTCTGTACGTCAGCTGTGT